TAGCACGTGCCCGAGCCAACGCAACTTATTCAGTGCTATCTGTTGTTCTAGGGAGCTAGCATGATTATCACCACCTAGTACTCGTCTATGCACATCATCGTTGCGGACACGCTGGTGCCATCCGACTCCAGCAATGCTTCGCAAACAACGATGATCAAAGACTTGAAGCGCCTCAGATCTTCAGATCGAAGGGGCCAAGTTTCACTCCCATAGAGCAGACCGGCCCTCACTGTGGCCTTGTATACACGGCCTTTCAGACGGAGGGAAACTCCCTTCTGTCGCGAAAGATGACGCAGGTTCAAGAAAGCAGCTCTGGTCTTTGCAATGCATGAGCTGACGTGTTTCTATGCGCCCATCATTGCTGATGCAGCTTCCAAGATAAGTGAATTGATCAACCACCTCGAGTTCCTCGTTAGCAAGCGTCAAGAGGTCATCAGGTGGCTGGTGGTCCTGCAGCAACACTTTGTACTTTGAAGGTGCGAAGTGTATACCAGATAATTGGACTACTGTGGATAGGCTATTCAGGGTTGATTGTGCCGCCTCAACATTGTGGAAAAGCAAGACGATATCGTCCGCATAATCTAGACCAACTAACCTTTCACCAGGTAGGACTTCCACGTCTACATCGTGCAATTCCGCAAGGGAACACTCCATGATAGAATCCACGACGAAATTGAACAGAGACGGGGAAACTGGACAACCCTGACGAACGCCACTTGTAGTTGAAAAGCTATCCGATAGGACACCATAGACCCTGACGCGGCCTGTAGTGTTCGAGTATAGAGCACGAAGGATGTTCACATATTTCATGGGAACACCTTTTCGCGCAAGTAATTCGAACAGAATCGATCGATCGACTGAATCGAACGCACACTTGAAATCGAGGAACACAGCTATTGTCGGTCTGCGGTATGCGTGGCGCTGCTCTAGCACTTGCCGCAAAGTGAATATATGGTCTATACAGCCACGTCCTGGGCGAAAACCGGCCTGCTTTTCCCTACTCCGAGATTCCCGTTCTGCAGTGAGGCGACGAACGATAATCGAGGCCAGTAATTTTGTCACAACTGGCGTTAGGCTAATACCCCTGTGGTTCGCACAGTCTGTGCGACTGCCCTTTTTGTATATTGCCACTATAATCGATTCGCTCCAATTAGCCGGCACACTCTCTTCGTTCCAGATACGTTCGAATAGGGAGGCCAGTGCTTTGCAGAGGACCTCACCTCCATCCTTAAATAGTGCAGGTGGTAGGGAATCCGGGCCAGCGGCACGAAAACGATTGAGGGCTGTGATCGCGTTTCGGACCTCGGCCTCCGACGGATGCTCTAAACTAACCGCCCATGGCACGTCCTGCATCACCTGAGTAGGAAGAGGTCCGGGAGCAGGGGGCCAGCTGAACTGATCTTCAAAGTGTTCAGCCCAACGAGCCATACGGCGCTCCTTATTGTGTATCAGCGCACTTGCGCTGTCTCTGATTGTCTCACTGACGCCTGGTTTTCTGGGACCAGTGGTGCGTATTAGCTGGAAGAGCTTGCGGTAATTGCCTACTGCTCCTGCCTCCTCCATTTCTTGAGCCCGACTGGTCCACCAGGCTTCCTTGTCAGCACGTAGGCTCCGCTTTAGTTCACGCCTAATAGCCCGTCTGGTCACATTGTGTTCAGAGCCAGCCGGGAGGTGTCTTTTGGCTTCCAACAGGTTCACGGACCTCTTGGATATCCAGTGACTGGTGCAGTGACGACTGATAGTGCCACAAGCAGATGCTCCTGCGTCGTGCATGGCGGCCGTGATCCTATTCCACTGAAGTTCAGTGTCATTAGGACAAGACAGCGAGAGTTCGCTATGCAGTGCTTCTTGATAGGTTTGCCTGACCGAGGGCTGGGACAATTTCTCCGCTGCCAATCGGAGGGGACGCTTTGTGCGCCTTCCGGTAAAGTTCATGGAGAAACGACAGCGCACCAAGGCATGGTCAGAGTCGACACAGGTACTCCAGTACGAGCGGCAATCCAGAATGGAACCGCGCCACCTGTAACTTATGGCTATGTGGTCAATTTGGGTCCATCGCTGGCCAGCTACAAGTGGACGCCAAGTGGCACTTCGGCGCCCTTTTGGGCCATATGCAGTTCGTAGACTGCTTTTAGGCCATATGCAGTCAGCAGTCTACGAACTGGTTCCAACAGTTTCGCTAACCAACGAGCAAACTTGTGATTTGGGGTGTTGTTCATGCACGAAATCGGCCGTAGGGGATTTATTTTCTTGTGTATTTTCGGTGCGCCACCCATTCTTGGGGTCTTCGTTGCTGTCGGCTTCAGTTGCCGATACTGTGATTCGGAGATCTACCTATGCAACAAAAGGATTTGCAGTTTTCTCGCAACCTGCTTTTCTACCAGAAGATTGGTGCCTACGGTGTTGTTCACTTGGAACTTATGTGTATCTCCGAGAATTGACTTCAGTTTCGATATATAATCTGCTTTATTCATGATCACAATACCTGCTCATTTATCCGGCTGCAGCAAGGCCATATCTTTCATCTCTTGGTCACCTTGTAATGCTCAGCTCCCAGGCAACACCTCTGACTTATCGTCATGTTTAGGATTTGTTCGCAATCCTCGCCAATTTTGCACAAAACCACCCTGCATCATCGGTTAATCTCGGTGATAGATCTCGACTTTTGTCTTCTGTCTGCGTTGACGAACTGGGTAAAGAAGACACTGTTTCAAGATACCTTTCAGACAACAAGTAGCATTCATCAGTGTTGTCCAGTTTCCTTGTTTTTGCTCAATTTCCTCATGGACTGCATCATGGTGTGTTCCATTGCTGAGCATCACGATGCAGGCACTGAGTCGCAATCTGGTTAAAAGCTAGTTGGTATCGATTTTGCGGACGGTATTGTCTTGCTGTTTAACGATGTGGCGGCATGGTCAACCATGAATGACCGGTATACGTTAGTCCCCTCATTTGGCATCCGCTTCACGCCTTCAGAGTGCAGTGTTGTTGAAGGACCACGAGCTGTTTGATGTACCGCTGACTCTTGATATCGCGGAACTTGAGGTGGCTGATCAATTCACCTACCTTGGCAGCTGCATCGGCAACGATGAGCTCATGACGACTGAAATCAGTTGACGTATTGCAAAGGTCAGAACTGCTTTTTGAATCTGTGCCGTTAGAAAGGGTTTTCCTTTGGGATGAAAGGCCGTGTTTACAAGGCCACAGTGATGGCAGTCCTACTCTATGGGAGTGAGACTGCTTTTTCTGTCTGAGGACCTGCAACGCCTTCAATCTTTTGATCATGGTTGTATGCGAAGCATTGCTGGGGTCGGATGGCATCTGCGTGTCCGCAACGGTGATGTGCGTAGGCGAATGCTAGGTGTTGATAATCATGGTAGTTCCCTAGAATAGCAGATAGCACTGAATAAGTCTCGTTGGCTTGGGCACGTACTACCTATGCCTGATAACTGCTTACCGAGGATGATGGTGTTTTCTTTTTCAGATGTAGGTTGGGGCAAGGCTCGAGGTGGGTACTAGCTGACTTTGTGCCGCCAATCTGTCTCGCTTTCCAGGCTGGAATCTACGTGACCCGCTTTGTGCTTGGGTTTGCAGTCGGCACCGATGGCATGTCTGTTGTCTCGTTGTCAAACTGCCTGTTTGTAGTGTTTGCTGCCGTGTTATCTACAGGGTAATAGCTGATTATGACGCGAGGCAGTGAAAGCCGCAAGGAAGCTGTTCGCCGATGCCTTCCAATCTTTGCACATAGACAGCTTTTGGTGACACTATGTTGACAAGATGTAGGCACCTTGATTCAGAATGTTTGTTTAGGGCAATAAGCCTTTCAGTTAATTCCCTCTTCTCTTATTATTCTTTGTTTCATAGGTCATCATGGTTGTACGGCAGCGAAGCATCAGTTCACTTAGCTGATGTACTGCTGTTGATGATCGTAATTATGATGATGATGGCAGGTCACAACTTGCTCCCTCTTTACTGACCCGCACAATGTCACCACTCCGATCATTATTTTGTGATGGCTCCTAGTTGTGTTGGTCGTTCTGCGCACTCTGTCATCGTGACGGTGTTTGGCTTGGTCAACGGTTCATCTGTATATGAGGCTAATGTTCAGTGACCGTCTTGCTTACACTGACATGCATTCCCCCCCCAACTACTAGTATGCAGCGATTTCACCCCTTCGAATTTTTACTGTGCGTTTTTGCGCGCTCATAATTCTAGGTACAAATCCAGCCTTTGACTGCTGTCAGGAACTTGGAGCACATCGCGCATTCATCAACACCGCTGTTCATCTGCATACCTCCCCGACCTTTTTTCTTTTTTTACTGAATAGTAGTTACGTGGTGGCCAATTACATGCCACTTCTTTTCCCTTTTGGTAGAGCCATCCTAGGTGCTCACGTGTATATTGACAAGTCAACCCAATTATCCCCAACTGTTAAATCCGCCAGTGAATAAGCGATCCTTGTCTGTGTGCCACGTTATCTCGCAATTTGTCTGTTACCGACCGTTGATGACCGGACATAAACCTTTCTATTCATTGTTGTTTTTGATTATCGGTACCTTGACGATGAATTCAGGAGCTGCTTATCATTGATCAGTTTGTGATGAGCGCTGTCGAATTCAGAACCCAAAGGAATCACAGTCTACGCTTCGGCACATGCAAATACACGGAATAAGTCACTGATTTGCTGCACAGGCTGCGTGTTCAAGCTTTACTCACCGGCATTCTTTTTCGTTCAATAATGCAACTGGGCTATCTCATTGTCAATACAGTATTGTCGTACTACCCTACTAGCATCGGTCAAATATATTTAGCCGGAATGTTTTTTCCTGTTGGAAAGTTTATCGCGATTAGTTGTGGTTTAGACACCATGTTTTTACCGGCTGCATGTATCTCGGCTTCAGGACGGCAAGGCTCATCCATTTAGTATTACTGATGCGATGCGCTCTATTCTGACTTTATCTTCAGTCATATCATTGTCCCATTCTATTCGTACTTCTCAGAGATCCCGTCGACGTTCGTATATTGGTCCCGGGAGCCGGTCTGGGTCGTCTAGCTTGGGAGCTGGCGCATCGCGGATACACCTGCCAAGGGAACGAGTGGAGTCTTCACATGCTTATCCCCGCGTATTTTATTTTAAACACGTGAGCTGCGCTAGTGTGTGATTTTATTTTCTCATAATGCGTCGTATCGTAAAACTATTTTTCTTCCGTCACTTGCCCAAAAACAGTCATAAACATACAGCGCGAACAGTTTTTGGAGCAACATTTATACATGTTTCATTCATCTCCTCACTTATTAATCTATCATAGATAGTCTTATATATATATATATATATATATATATATATATATATATATATATATATATATATATATATGCCCCATGCTGAGGCTGATGTTGCATTCTTGATGCTTCTTCACCGCAGTTGGGCTAAACCAACTTGCTTAAGCTAGGTCTTTTTAAGCTGGCTAAATTTCATTCCACTTTATTTGGTTTGTTCTGCCTACCTGAATACTCTTCTATTAACTGGCCACGTTGCTTACATTAATTGCGCTTATCTTCGGTAACTTTGTTGCGTTTGCAGCATTTTTAACTAACTTGTGGACATTTCTTACTTATCGCGGATTCGTTGCTAACCAACTTACTTCATATGCTAATTTAGCTTAGAGTTATGCCACCGTATTTGTATGCATTATTGGATTTGTTTTATTTCATCTTGTCGTTCCAGGTGATTGGCTGTTGCTTGATATCCCTGGTGTGGCTGCGCTTGATGTGCATGTTGACAAGGTGCCTACCTGTCTATTACCCACTACCTCGTCCATACTGGCTCCAAGAGACAGTTGATCGTTGCTGGAAGGGACGGGGTGCACGGTCATTTTGGCCGTGCTAGGCTCGAAGAGTGGTTGCATGCACTCAGTGTGGAGCGGACTACGGTTCAGCCACCGCCTTGTGTGCGCTTGATTTCCCAAATACAACGTGCTTGTGTTTGCCTGTGAAGGAGTGTGGGCCGGCTCCGTTGATGAAACGTGGCTCCCATCCACATGCCTCCCGGTCTTATTCCTTCGGGTTTACACTGGATATGGGGTGTGTGGTTGGAGCTGTGGGTGGTGCAGCGCAAGCCACCCATGGTTCCTCTGTAGGCGCAGGCGTCCTGTGGCTGGCTACAGTGACAGGCAAATCCGAAACCGGATGCCGCCAACCATATATATATATATATATATATATATATATATACATATATATATATATATACATATATATATATATATATATATATATATATGGCGGGAGAGCCTATGGTGCGCTGAGGCTGGTGGTGGCTAGATCCTGACAGATGGTCTACCCATTGCTGCTACTGTTGCGCCATTTGTTCATGTCCTGGGCGCCTCCTCGTGGCGACCGCTGGGTGGGAGTTAGGTTTCGCCCTTCTCCCTGCTAAGATCCAGGACACCAATCCGCATGAGTCAGCTAACTGACCATGTGCTAGACCCGCTGCCTTTCGGGTGTTCATTTAATCGAAGGCTTTGGCTGAGGACCCGAGTCGTTCTCCTGTCAGGATTGGGCGCCCTGGCAGTATCCTAGTCCATCCTCTCCGGAGGTTAGGAAGTGGTCGATGGCCCACTTCCCGTAAAACCTAGCCATGGGAGACAACAGGTTTACGGGTTATATTCTCAATGCTCGATTGGCGTAGAGCACGAGTGCCACGCATTGTCTCTGACGGTGGGAGGACACCTCCGGGTGTTCAATGGTTTGCTACTGCCCGCCTCAAGCCAGGCAGCCCCTGGTCAAATTGGTGCAAACCCGCCAAAAACCCACCTGCGTCTGGCCGTGGTCGCAGGTGCGTGTCCAATTACGGTGGCACAACATATGATAATTGTTCCAGAACCTCAAAGGCTGTGTGTGACGGCCGTCAAGCAGATCCCAATCTGTCTCTGCAATCACATTCCCGAGCTGCATCTGCTCTCCACTGCCTTGTGGGTCAGGCTATTGAGCCAAAGGCTCCGGGCTGAGTCCCTCAAGCAAACCTCCAAACCACCCACTGCCTTGTGGGTCAGGCTATTGAGCCAAAGGCTCCGGGTGGAGTCCCTCAAGCAAACCTCCAAACCACCCACTGCCTTGTGGGTCAGGCTATTGAGCCAAAGGCTCCGGGTGGAGTCCCTCAAGCAAACCTCCGAAGCACAACGACCACCTCGCGTGCGATTGCCCACCAATGCAATCGTATGCCTGCGCGCAAAGCACTCAGCATCGGGTGCTGGAACGTGCGCACACTACTGGACCGGAACTCGAGCGAGCGCCCGGAGCGACGCACTGCACTGGTCGCAATGGAGCTGGCGCGCTACCACATCGATATTGCGGCGCTCAGTGAAACTCGGCTCGCTGAGCAAGGCAAGTTACATGAAGCAGGTGCTGGCTACACATTCTATTGGGTGGGGAACGCCGCCTCAGCACCACGTGAACATGGGGTCGGATTTGCAATATCCGATCGCCTGAATGGCCAGCTGGTGGGTGAACCAACGGGCATCAGCGCGCGACTGATGACTGTTCGCCTACGACTCGGAAGAGGTAAGTTTGCTACTTTTATAAGCACGTACGGTCCGACCATGTGTTATCCTGGTGACACGCGTGATCAGTTCTACACTGAGCTATCCTCCGTGATACGGTCTGTGCCGAGGAGTGACCGACTATTTCTGCTAGGTGATTTCAACGCGCGCGTTGGGCGTGATGCATCAGCGTGGACAGATGTTATCGGTTCACATGGCATTGGTTCAGCGAATGCGAACGGTGACAGGCTGCTCTCGCTGTGTGCCACTCACGGCCTGACGATCACGAACACTCGGTTTGCACTGAGTGCGAGTGATATAGCAACTTGGACGCACCCACGGAGTGGTCACGCTCACCTGCTCGACTATGTCATCGTACGTCAGCGTGATATGCGTGAAGTGCGCATGACACGTGTACTGCGTGGAGCTGAGTGTGGCACTGATCACAAGTTGGTGCGGACCAAACTGTACATATATTTTCGTAAATCGATGTATTGCACTCCCGCCGTGAATCGGCGTAAATTTAACATTCTCTCCCTCGGTACTGTGGCGAAACGTACTGAGCTGGAGAAGGCGATGGCTGCACGCCTGTGTGATGTGGAATGCATAGCCACAGTGGGCGACCTGTGGCACCACATTCGCCACCAGGTGACAGCTGCTGCCGAGGAGACCATCGGGCGCGCAAACTGTAAGCGGCCTGATTGGTTTGATGACAACAATGTGACGATTGACGCATTGGTGTCAGAGAAGAATGCAGCATTTGCTGCACATGTGGCAGACCCCAGTGACTTGGGGAAGAGTAGTCAGTTTCGCAAACTTCGACGGCGACTGACCCGAGAGCTCCGTCGCATTAAAAATGCATGGTGGACGGAGAAGGCGAAGCAGATGGAATGCTACGCCGAACGCCTTCAACACAAGGAATTCTTTGACTCCTTGAAGGCGGTGTATGGACCGAGATTGGAGCCGCTGAGGACACTGATCGATGGTAGTTCAGGCGCTACCTGCACCCAGACTGCAGACATAATGCAGGTCTGGCGGAAACACTTTGACTGTCTCTTGAACAACCGTTCAGAGATCGACTGGCCTACATTGAATGGCCTGAAGCAGCATGATGTGAAGGCGGATCTGGCGGATACGCCGACACTGGATGAGACGCAGAGAGCACTTGCTCAGCTGCGAAACGGCAAATGTGCCGGAGGTGACGGGATCCCACCTGAAGTATTGAAACACGGTGGACCCGCGTTGTTGACTGCGCTGCACCACTTGGCGCAACGTGTATGGATTGAGGAGGAGGTGCCTCCTGAGCTGAAGGATGCCCTTGTGCTACCACTGTACAAGGGTAAAGGTAGCAAGCAATGTTGCACGAATTATGGTGGCATCAACTTGCTGAGTTGTGTGGGCAAGGTGATTGCCCGAATCCTGCTCAACCGCCTCGTCAGTCAGGTTGTGGAACCTAACGTGGCGGAAGAGCAATGTGGATTCCGTTCGGGTCGCAGCACTATAGATATGGTGTTTGCGGCTCGTCAGTTGCAGGAGAAGTGCAGAGAACGACACCAGCCATTGTACTCACTTTTTGTTGATTTCACCAAAGCATTTGATACGGTGAACCGCGAGGCATTGTGGCTGGTGTTGGGTAAGTTTGGTTGCCCGCGTAAGTTTGTAAGTTTAATTGAATGTCTGCACAGTGGTATGCGAGCGCGGGTGCAGCTGAGTGGAGAGACCTCGGATGACTTTGCAGTTGTCTCTGGTGTGAAGCAAGGCTGTGTCTTAGCTCCTGCCCTGTTTAATATATATCTTCATGCGATGTTGTCTTGTGCTTTTGATGCGGCTTGTGCTTACGGTGTTCGTGTGGAGCACTGTATTGATGGTGGGTTGCTGAACATCCGTCGTTTCGGTGCGAGAACTCTAGTCTGTGAGACAACTATCCGTATGTTGCTGTTTGCTGACGACTGTGCGTTGTTTTCACACAGCGCGGATGAGTTGCAGCACATGACTAGTGCTCTGGCTTCGACAGCGGCCAAATTCGGGCTCACCATCAACACAAGCAAAACTGTCTGTCTCTTTCAGCCTTCACCGGAGGTGCAATCTTCAATATTGCCGCAAATCAGCATTGGTGCTGAAGTATTGGAAACCACCTCCCGCTTCAGCTACCTTGGGAGTGTGATATCGACTGATCAGCAGCTACACGTTGAGTTGCGTATTCGCGTGTCGAAGGCAGCAGCGGCATTCGGGAAGCTTGAGTACCGAGTGTGGAACAATCATCAGCTTACCATTGGCACGAAGCTGATGGTGTACAAATCCATGGTACTGTCCGTTCTTCCATAAGGCAGTGAAACGTGGACGATGTACCGGCGGGATGTGCGATATCTCGAGCGGTTCCATCAGCAGTGTCTGCGACGAATTTTGCGGATCGGCTGGGGCGCCAGAGTTGCGGACACGGAAGTTTTGCGCCGAAGTGGGATGTATGCAGTGGACGGCATACTTTTACTGCGACACCTGAGATGGCTCGGTCATGTGAGCCGTATGGATTCGACGCGGATACCGAAACAACTTTTATACGGTCAGCTGAGTATAGGGAAGCGGCACGTGGGGAAACCAAA